AACAACCCAGCACAGGCAAAGCTGCCTGTGTACAGGAAAAGCAAGCCCAGGTGCAAACGGGCTTAGCACGTTGGTGATAAAACACAAATGCTAAGAGCAACTGAATGGCTAAACCACTAGCAAAAGAGGTACTAGGGTTGCAAAATTCTGGGAATTTTCCTGTTAATTCCTATATATTCCCCATTAATTCCCATGGAAAGTTCCCAACTTGGAATACTTCCAAAGTTCCCCAGTTTAACTTCCCATGGAATGGAAAGTTTCTGGAAAGTTTCCACCTTTTTGTAACCCGAGTTGTAACAGAGAACCCACCGGAGCCGCCTTCTCCCAGGTACTCAGGGCAGCCGCCACAGCGGACAAGTTGGTCTTGCGCTCTTCCTCGTATTCGTCCTGGGAATTACGGATGAGGTCCCGGTACACCGCCTGGCACTCGGTATAGCGCTCCAACCTATATAACTGAAGAGAGGGGGAACACTCCAGGTCAGGTGACCACCCATAAACCAGTCACGCACATCAGCATTGTAGGACTAACTGCCAGTCTGCTTCAGACACAGTCCCTAAGACGTACATGTCCTTAAAGAACATGCAATCATCTGCTAGTTACCCCTCTACCCCTGATGCGATGACTACCAGTTATTTCCATAATTTTACCTCATAGACTGTTCCATACATAATCCTGTCAGAACTTGACGAGTATATCTGACGTCCTAAATATTTTGGTCCTTTGAGCACTGAAACCATCCACATATGTAACGACACCGAAGGTAGACTTCAGTGGGGTCTTTGGGTTCAATCATGTAAGAAAGGAGCGGCCCGCTTACCACTTGGCCATAAAGTTCCTTCAGTTTGTCTGTCTGCTGGGTGGCGCTTTCGATTGTCTTTAAAGCGTTTTCAACACGATTCAGCCGGTACTCACAGTATGCCTTCTCAAAAGCGATGACATCACTGGGGATACAGGGGTTTTACATCAACGCAACGCAAATTCAAGGAACCTGAGAGTAACAGCTATGCATGGCCTGAGAAAGCATGTGCTGTAAAGATTACACCTTATAAGTTTTAATGTATGTAGGCAGGCTCAACTTAGCCAGCTTACCTGCTAAGGACCTTTGTGTGAGTGTTGATGACATTCAGTGCCTCTTTAAAGCTGCCGTTCTGTATAAGGCAAACTATTTTACAATGTAGAGCAGTGACATCGTCTTTACATTCCTGAAGGACTGGAAGGGAAAGGCGTATTAATTCAATGCAATAAAAAAATTCAATATTTTACCTTGTTTACGTAAGGCGGCAAACAGTATATTTAAAACAGATAACTATCAGCCCACCCTTAAACTTTTACATCGACGTATAATCGAAATCATAAACTGTTAATGCAACGGAATAGGACACGTAATCATTCAGGAGCAACAGACCCTCCGTCTAGTTATAACCTAAAACAAACCGACACAAGACCTATTCCGTTTTATTATTGGGAAAAGTAGTGGCGAACACATAAATAGTGCTAGATGCATTGTTAAACGTTTTCAAAATGGGGTCGATATATAAAAACTAACCGCAGGATATTAGCATTTAAGCTACCCAGCTTAGAAGACATAACACATTCTTAACCCTGTGCCACTGTTTAGCTAAGCGCGAAGCGGCGTGATTAAGATCATTGTAAAAAAATGATTACTTTTATTGACAGATTTGAGAGCCCGCGTATAATCGCCATTCTGTCCGTAACGGTTAACTTCAGTCCACAGCGCAGGCACTGACACTCCACCGCTCGCCATCTTCTCCGCACATGAGCTCTTGGGAGACCGCTAATATACTTCCGGGTTAAACTCGGGAATTCTGGGATTACTTGTGGTCCATTCGCAACTTTCCTTGAGAGCCTGTCGTTTGTTCTGTGCTGCCTGAAACGGGCTCCAGCGCCCCTTGCGACCAATACTAAGAGAGGATGGATAGGTAATAATAATATTGTGGGAGCTGAGGTTTGAATACCACCCTTGAACTGTTTGTGGAATTTGCATGTGCTCTGCATTTTGTGCAGTGCTGGGCATTTCAGGTCCAGAAACTACAAATCCAGACCAATATTTTGTTTTTACCAACCAGCTGAGCATAAATAGTCACAGTCACAGAGTACTCTCCTGGAAGGAAGAAACAAAATCTTGGTCTGAATTTGTAGTTTCTGGACCTGAATTGCCCAACACTGATCGTGCATGTTTACTCAAGGTGCTGCAGTTTTATTCCCACTGTATAAAAACACACAACTTAAAAGCTGGTGACCTGATTGGTTCTAATGCCTAGCTGTCTGTGCCCTGTGCTGGCATCCCACACCAGAGTGTTTCCCTTCCTGTGGCCCATGCATCCTAGGATGGACATCTGTCTCTCAGTGACCCTGTATGAAAGGTGCATATACAAAAATACTCTGTCAGGCTTAATGCATTTTATCCAATACAAGGTCAGGGTGTTGGCCTGGAGTTTTCCCTATCAGTAGAGGGCAGCAGGCATCCTGGATACTCAATATACACACACAAAACATTAAACTCTGCACAGATCATTTTGTAAATTATACTACAAAAAAAATCTGCAAATTCTAAAATAACAGCATTCCTATTAAGATTTAACGCCATCATTTTATAGTACATTTAAAATTCAAAATAAAAATGAGAATTCTTATAATGCATTACAAAAGTATCGGTATATGTCAAAAGAGGCAAAATTGCAAGGAAAAACTGTTGTTCTGGGTATTTACATTTTGCCTATCTGTCTATAATCTCTAGCCACATTTATAATCTGTATCCATATTTATTTGTTTTTGAGCAGTGTAAACCTTAAAGTCCTTATTGTGTAACATGACATATATGTATTTATTCTAGTTGAAATACAGACCAAATCAATTTTGTTTACAGTGGTAAAATTTGTTTGATGTTTATTTGTTACAATACAAGTCCAAAGTCTTTTTGAATCTTAAGCAAAATATTTATAACATATTTATAGTAAAAGCATAATGGTCATCAGGAATGAGACAACATAAAACTAACATGATGCAAACTGCATCATCTGGTAGGATTTAATACAAATAATCTATGGACAGACAAATACAATTCAACACAGATAAGTTAAAAAAGAAAATGGTTGCAAGATTCATGTCAGTGCTTTTAAATACATTCTAAGCATTTCAACGATTAACTTTCTAACACATCCTAACATCAGAACTCACAGAACAACCACCAGAACTTGAAAACATTGAAAGAATTTTACAAGATGCAAATCAAGTATTATCTATTATTCAGGAGCCTGTTTCACAAGGCAGGATTCCTTTCTTAGCCATATAACTTTTCGGATTTAAGGCAGCCTGGGCTAGTTGTATGTGAACAAATGTACAGTCCATTTAGCAAAGACTACCTTAAATCTAACAAGCTATTTGGCTAAGCAAGAAATCCTGCTTCATGAAACATGCCACAGGCCGGAAGAGGGCATGACTCAAATGTTTCCAGTCCTGGAGCTCAGTAGGCTTAGCAGTCTTGAACCAGTGCTACATACCCAACCTTGTCAGAAATAATAATAATAATAATAATAATAATAATAATAATAATAATAATAATAATAATAATAATAAATAATAATAATAATATGACAACAATTAAGCTCAAGTGCTGTGCAATTTTATGTTGTACATCACCTGGCATCACTGCTTTTCTGAGAAATGGATTTAATGTGGGTGTATAAAGTGATTAAACAAGACTTTCACAGAAGACCGGAATGCATTTTATCAGTATTAACCGCATACAAAAGTGACCTCTATACTTCATTTTCCTTCCAAGTACACACATCATAAATCACACTGAATATTTTAAAATATTAATTGACCAATATCCCCACCCTCAACAAATCTGCAGTTTACAGAATAACATGCATGGATAAAACATTATCATTAGACCTTCCACATCTATTGCATAATACTGCAGATCCCCAGGACAATAAACATATGGAAAAGAAAACAGCACTTCAAATAAAATCCATATTTAGCCTTTTTGTTGCTTTAATTGAAGCGTTCGAGCACCTTCCTCACAGAAAAGGGAGGGCCATTTACACAGAATACCACACATCTGGATTACTGTCATTACCTGCCTTCAAATATAAAGCTCTTCAACTTAGTAATAAGTTAATAGGCATAAAGTGTACTGCCGTCCTGAGGCACTAGCCAGACAAACATTTGCGACTTGTGAACCTGAATTTCTCTTTATGTTCATCACGTGTAAAACACAGAAATTTAAATATCCCCAAAACACACAGCTGTCAGAGATAAGAATCTTTTTTGGGGATTCTGAGTGACATTTAAGCAGATGCAGGTTATTGCACGGATCTTCTGTGCATTACGGATGGCTGGTTAATTTGATAACAAAAATAATAATCTTTACAAAAAGTACATATTCCAAACTTGCGAGGTTTCTGCTCCGCATGTAACTTTTACCATTGCTGCCAGCTGAACTCGTCATTGGACCCAAAGACCAGGAAGAAGCCCAGAATCGTTACGTAGATGATGGTGTTTCCTGTTAACACCAGCGCACACGCGCCCCACTCAATCTGCAACAAGACACAGAAAACGTCCAAATGTGCTCCATTATGGCAAAAATCACAATCACAATTATTTTGGTCAATATTGAGATGACAATTATTTAACACGATTACTCATTGACTTTGGAAATATCACGCGTTTATTGACTTTTTTTAAAAAACAAACAAACTTGTTTTTTTAACAGTGGATTTCCTTGAATTCTAAATGTAATTCAATTAAATAAATAATATGGGATTGGAAAGTGGGGTGCTGGATTTATAACACAAGACAAAACAGGAGCATCACTGCAAAATAAAATGCAGCAAAATAATCGTTTTACCTTGATTATTTTCTTTTGATAATCACTGGAAATCAAAATTGTAACTAAAATAAAAGTTTGATTAATTACCTAGCCCAAATGTGGCACACTTCATTACTCTATTATGGGAAACTATGTAACCAAAATGTTTATATATCAGTATATTTATTAGAAACTGAACTTAAGGTCAAAAGAAAAATAATGAAATATTTCCCCACCTCTTTTCTGGTAAATAAATGTAAGTATACAGAGATTTCCCCTGTGGGAACACACAGAATTTTAAAGAATTTCCAAGAATGAAAGAATATTCATTTACCACTGTAGATCTTGCAAAAATAATTGGCAGGCCAAAGGCAGAAACCACTATTCCTGTCGTGAGGAAAATGGCCAGCTCTTTGCAAGCGCTGCTGGCTGCATCCATGTCATCCACAACCCTCCGTGAGATGCAGTATGGGATAGGAGACAGGATGTAGAAAAAGAGGACAAACAAGGGCCAGTACTTACTGTGGGAGAGGGAGAGAGACACGCAGTCAAGTTAGGAAAAGACTACGTTACCCATCATGCAACAGCAACACACACAAACAAAGAACAAGTAATTCCTGGATAATTTATCTTAAAAATATTCCATGTAACTTATTAATTGCTAGATTTCCAACTGCAAAACAACATTTATTTTATGTTCTTATGGTGGGACAAATGCATAGTCTCTACGTAGGCTATGACATAAAACTAAAGCAGAACTTCTAGAGATCACCATCACAATAAAGCTACCAAACACAAAGTTGAAATATTTAACACTTACTTATACTCTGGAAGTGCACATCCCAACATGAGGAACATCAGTCCAATGGCTCCTCCAAAGGACAGGCTGATGAGAGCTACCAAGAAACAGGGAACGGGCAACATATTTCCAGTGGAGAGTCCAGTTCAGTGCAAAAAATCATCACAAATATAACATTTTAAAGAGGTGTTAATGTGATTCAATATGAAAGCAGTGAAAATAGCCATTTTAAAATACTTCATTTAAAACCATACATACTTAACATAAAATTTTGATGTCATATAGATTTATAAAGGTAGCTGAAGTTTAAGTGCTTCAATCATTTATAGTGGTACTTGATTGGCGGAGCTAATGCACGTATGGTACAAGCACAGAGATATGCCACATAATATCCTCAACAAAAACTGAAAAAGCGGCGGAAAATGTAATACCAAAGAAAGATATTTGGGAAATATACCAAGTAAGTGGAAACATTACAAACGCGAAGCCTTATGGGCATGCACACGCATAATGAGCTCACACCTCGAGGGAATAACACAGTTTACATTGTTTCCCAAATGTTCACTCGCTAAAGCGGGGAGCCTAACTCGTACTAAGCGAGCAATCACATGTGACGGATCACTTGATTCATCATGCATGACAGAGACGTAGCAGTAAAAATACACAAATAACTGGAAAAGACCAAGGCGACAACCCTCAGACTCAGACAAGTTTTCCTGTAAATGAATACATACAAACATATCATTAATGGCATTCTGTACGCTCGATTACATCACTGTAAGCTACCAAGGTTACATATGGCGATCAAATTAATAACCCATTAATGCCGTTTCTCATGCTGCTGGGATCACGACACCATGGTCGATCTGTACTCTTTGTGTTTAGTTAACCAGCTTTCACGACCGGTATTGGAGTTCATTTACATCTATCTGGCATGGCTTCATAATTGCAAATAATAGGTAAGTCTTCAGTTGTTTCAGCTCACTGTATTGCGTAAATAATAAAATACAAATAAACAAAACAAACCAATGTCAGTGCCTGCCCCTGTCCCGTTTTTGACCAGCAGATAAAACAGAGCTAGCTAATATCAATTCTGTTATAAACATCATCCACACTAGAAAACAACACCAGTGTGGCCTTGAAAAAACATCTGTTTCCTAGACTTATCAGTAAGTCAGTACGCATAACTCTTACCTTTAATCCCGGCCATTTCTGCAGAGCGTCAGTCGTATTAACCCTCGACGCGCCCACAGATTATTCATAAAGACAACAGTGTGCTTTCGATTTACGGCCTGTCTGGTGCGCATGCGCGTGCGAGAGTACTTGGATACTTTGTTACAGCTTTCCGGTTTTGTTACAACTTTGCGGTTTTGCAACTTCGGCTTTGCTCTTTTTGCCGAGTAAAGTTGCACATGTCCACGGCTTAAACCTTGGGTGGAAAGAGGCTAAAAAATCGTTCGTGATGATAGCGATACATTGAGTACAGGAAGTATACGTTAAATACACGGAAACGCCTTGTTCGTTGGGAGGGCAACCGGAAGAGTGACGTGGAATATGATGAAAGCAGAAGCGACATAAGTGGACTTTATTTCATAAACAAAACATTTTTTTCACGTTACTGGTTGTTAGGTAGCAAGCTGATCAGTACATTTGGTAGCTGTTATTGTATCGAAGATCAATGGCGGCTCTTGTATTTGCAGTGTTCCTGCAGTTTCTCTTCTTTCGGCAAATAGAAAGCTGGAATGACGGAGGTTCGTGCGTTTTCATTTTATTTCGCATGTCAGATCGCCAAGACAGATCTACACAGGAGTCGTACTGTCGTTTAGGCCCATTCGGTCTGGCATTATCTGTAAGCGACAATGTCCCGCTTGCGGCTTTTTAAAAGATGCAGTAATGACTTATTGTTCAGTTTCACTCATATACCAAAACATTTAAAACACAGGTGTGATGTTCAGCCATGAACATTATTACTGTTGCTGTTATGACTATTGTCGTTGTTATTCGTCGTAATAGCCGACTCCGGTATAGTTCGGGTTGTAGTACCGAAATGATGCGCGTCCTTCCTTGCATCACCTCGCCTCCCGGCTCTCCTTATTCCAGGCAGCGTTCTCCTCCGGGACGTGCAGGCGCTCACTCTGTACAGGGGTCGCTACACCACTGCCCGACGCACGAGCCCCGTCCTACAGCTGCAGTGCGTTGGCGGCTCGGCCGGCTGCGGCGCCTTCATTCCGGAGGTGGTTCAGTGCCAGAACAAAGGATGGGATGGCGTCGATGTTCAGGTGCGTGTGCCCCTTAGCTGCTGGGCTGCCTGGTTCAATCCTATTTCCAATGTGCTGCTTAAGTTTGCACTCTTGGTTTGTGGTCGAAATGGGGATGCTTACTTATGCAGTAAAGCGTGTATATACAATATGAAGTGTGCACTTGAGCAGGTGTAATTAGATGCTAGATGCAGAAGATATTGACTGAGCAAGTATAAGATGCTATAAGTTGTGCAATGCTGTCATGTTTTTATTTATTTATTTTATATTTATTTTTTAACGCATTTCCTTCCAGTGGGAGTGCAAGACTGACATGGACAATACATACCGCTTTGGAAGGGTAGAGGTGAGCTGTGAGGGGTTCAACCACCCTGATGACCCCTACATCCTGAAGGGCTCCTGCGGGTTGGAGTATACCCTGGAGCTGGCAGGGCAAGGCCGGCAGGGGGGCCACGGCTCCCAGGGCTCGGGGGCCTTTGGTGGCTTCGCCTCCAACTTCTTCAGGGATGCCTACGACGGCCAGCGGCAGCAACAGGGAGGAGGCGGCTTTCATCAGAGCTCCTCCGGGGGTGACATGGGTGGTCTGATCGTGGTAGGCCTATTGCTCCTCCTGGCTTATGGAGTGTACAAGATGTTCCTGTGTGGTCCCACGCACAACCAGGACCGCTTCCCTGATGATGCTGGGCACCCGAGCGGACCCTCCCACATGGGCCCCCCCCCTGCCGGATTTAAACCTGACTACTCAGGTACATGGTCATGCCACCTTGAGGTGAAACTAAGGGCGTTTTGCAGTATGTGTACTTGAACGTACTTGTGTCCTAATAGGCCTGTTTTGTGTCCTCTTCCTTTGCCGATGACCGGTTCCAATACTCAGAACAGAAAGTACGGTTGCATCCTCGCTGAAACAAAACCAATCCCATGATTCTTTGCATCCCAAGTTCGTTCTTGGGAGGCAAGTTAGCAAGACTGGTCTTGCCAAGACCACAAGTACGATCTTTGTGTTCTTAGTATGGAGAAACGCCCTTATTCCCCAAGCTTAGCGCTAAGAATTGGTCTGATCATATGGGTCTTCAAATTCAAGTGAGCATTTGCATAACATTTTAGTTTCAGAGTAGGTGAAGTCAGTGCCAGAACGTTCAGGAAGTAGTTATATAGGCAGCTGTGTCTTTTTTTTTGCTTGCATGCAACAGAGTCTAAATGACCAAGTCACTTAAAATATTTAAAATGTATGCTTCTAGGTTCCTCTTCACAGTATGGCGGCCATGCTAGCCATCCGGGATCTGGAAGTCAGTACGGCTTTAGGGACGAATTCACCAGACCTGGGAGTACCAGACCCAGCTCGAATTCTGGTTATGGGTTTTGGTCTGGATTGGGGACCGGAGGACTCCTGGGGTATCTTTTTGGGAATCAGAATCGGTAAATATGTCTTTGATGTTTTAGTTTACATTCCATCTCTGTGGATAATGATGAATTCTAACAAGGTTAATATGCAGGTGGATTGACTTGCTAATTTTATGCAAGATGACTTATGTTACTGTAGTATAGCTCTACAATATAAACAATGGAGTATTATATATATATATATATATATATTTTTGTGTTGCAGGCGCCAGCCAAGCATGCATACTGGGAACTCCTGGAACCCGGGGAACTCCTGGAACCCGGGGAACTCCTGGAACCCGGGGAACTCCTGGAACTCTTCCAAAGTGCAGCCAGGGAGTACTGGAACCCGCACAGCATCAGGTACTCATGCTGGACTCATTCTGGGCTGGGGTGCTTCTGATGCTACCTGACTGATCAGACGTGTCTGTGTGCTTTAGCCAATCAGATTGTTTCTGTGACCATAAGAGATATGCATGTATCGCCACCCTGTAAATTAAGGCTAACCACCGTTTCAATGACTTTCTTTACATAGGTTCTTATCTGTAAGATTTCCATGTTGTTCTTGCTTTGATGTAACATATAATATTGATGATTATTTCTGAATAATCATATGGTGACATGGACTGTGTTTTGTTGGAAGAATTACATCACACTGATTGGAAAAGCTTCTCTCTTAGGCTTTGGAGGCACCAAAAGAAGATAGATGGATGGATGGATGGATGGATGATGATCCAGCAGGATCCCCATGGCAACCAGGCCTAGTTCACTTTGATCTTCACCATGTGTCTGTTGTAGTAAAGATGGCGATCTGTTTGATATCATCTGGGAAATGAATGTAGCACAGGCTTGTGTTTTCACAAAAGAAGCACTGGACAGTAGTTGTATAAGAGAGACTGATTAGCTTATCTTCAGTTTGTGTTTCTTTGTAATGCCTGTTTGAGGATAGCAGAGCCTGCAGTAATTGCTATAGTTAAACAGGTTTCCTTTTGTGTTGAAAGTGCCGTGTCTCTGATCTTGAACTTCATACTCGCTAGTTATGCATTTTGATGTGAGCTCCGTGGGATAACAGAAACTATTAAATATTTTTTGTCCATATGTGCCGCCCATTTAAATTCAATAATTCGAAATGGTTTTGGAATGTTTGTACAGTTATATATTTTATAATTAACTGGAGTGGATGTTTGATTGCATTCATTTCTAGAGCTGGTTTTATTTTGTCCTTTGAAATGAAATAATTTCTTTAAAATAAATGAAATTTGTAATATCTTTTTCTGAACTCTCTTTGTGTAAAAGATGACTTTAAGGCCTTGTCATGGTTGAATGTTATTTGTTATGTATATATCTGGCCCAGTAAATGCTAGCATCCTGTTTAGGGTGCTAAATGATACTGATCTTGACAAATACATATCTGACCTGATACTGTTTCATGGAAAAGCTTCCAGACTGTCTATGACATGGAACTGGGTAAATGGTTGGAAGATGGATGGATGAATTACACAGATGTGTAGGTGGGTCTTTTAGGCCTGGAACCCATCAAGGAAGCACAGGGTGCAGCACTGGGGAGCTTCATGTGCACACAAGGGGCAGATTAGTGACATTACTTGAACGCCATTGTCATGCAAGTACATTTTTAGTCTGTACGGTTCAAGCAATACTGTCACACCTTTTGTTCTGACAGAAGTGTTTTATTTTCAATAAACTCGGCTACACCCAACAAGTTGTGAGCTGTGAGATTGTTAGAGGAAACGGTTAAGGCCACAAGCTGGCCAGCCATGATATATGTGCTGCCTCTGTGTACCTCGTACTGCCCGTGATGTGTGTATGTGTGTCTTTGGCCCTCGGGGACAAATAAAGTTTTTTTAAATTGAATTGAATATATCCTTAATATGCTAAGGAGCCTATATTTCCCAACAATCAGATGATATTTTTCAACAATTTAATATTATTCATATCATTGCATGTTTTATTTTTAAAAAGACTGAAGTTAAAAAGTCTGAATGGAAATATTTGTGCCACATCTTAAGATCATTTAAACTTAATCTTAACCTATGAGTCCTTGACTTTGTAAGACTGCACCAGTAACATTCAACATATTTTAGTCTTGCACATATTTAAATGCAGACATTGCTGCTGATGTTTGTCACCCAACCAGGGGTATATTTAAGAGTGATGAGAAAATTACATCATAATCACTTGGAATGTTCAACATCACACTCGTGTCCTACGATGGCAGAGAATAAAAAAAGTTATATTTTTTTTAAATCAGTCAAATTTTAAAAAATCACAAACTGAAAACACACCACCACATGGCCTGACTTAAATGCCCAGTCACAAAACCTACCTGTTCTACCTTCTTCAACCGGTTGAGCGCCTTAAGAACTTCTACTTTGAACTTCATTAATTTGGTCTCCACTGAAGGGCTTGTCACTGCATTGAACACAGCAGCAATAAGGCAACAGACAAACAACTTCATTTTCAAGCCTGGATTTTGAAGTGATATTTGCAGGAAATGCCTTTCAAATGCTTTACCGATACTTTTCATAGGTAAGTACCTTGCTTATATACATAGGTATCCACCTGGACACAGGAAAAACACTCCTTCGACATTGGAAAACGGCGTAAAATGTAAATGAGTAATTTCATGTTTCTTTCCAGTGGCCGACTCACCGTAATTTTTTGGGCGTGGGGTGCGCCCGAGCGAAACAAACTTTCTGCACACCGGGCAGGAAAAGTAAAAAAGCTGCAAGTTCCCTTTTCAGTTTTAATCAACTATTTCCTGATTCAAGAAGGTACCGTACCTGAAGTTTATCTAAACATTTTTTTTTACTCTGCGTCCTCCCACACCGCCCAGCTCCTACCTGATGTAACATAAACATCATGCAATCATTTGAGCACTACCGCAATGAGTAAGAAAGGCGCCCAGGACTTTCTCACAGGTGCAATTTTTCTTTGTACCTGAGTTTAATTCAGCTAAAAGAGTCTGAGTATGACAGAGTATGAAATACTGCAGCTCTGGTTACCCGACTTGGATGAAACTCCACCAACCAGGTCCGTATACATTCATACATTCACTTTTACATGCATAATATTCTGAGTAGAGTAATAAATGACAAGTTTTATATATGATGATAATTGTAAACATTAAAATGATATAAAATATGGTTATTGCAGGTATAATTATTAAAAATAATACACAATTCATAATATTTCTACCTTGGCTTATATGTACATGCATAGCTATGCATTCTAATGACTTTATAATGAGAATGTGTAACTCTATAACAAGAATGTATCAAATGATAGCGCAGAAGAATTTGGGTTTTATATCTTCAGGGAAGCCAGAGGGTGATGTTGCACTCAGTATGTAGTAGGTGTGGCCTGTAGTATTATTTCTCAGCAGGTAGTGATTTGACAGCATTCCTTCGTGACAAGGAAGCTGTAGACAGACACAGCTTGACATGCTGATGTGGAGAAGATGAGAAGGTTCCTGAGGATACACAGAGATGAGGACTATGACCAGATGCAGTTTTTCACAGTGAAATGTAACCAGCTTGTACAGGAAAAGGGTGAGTCCCTTTTGGGGGGGGGGGGGGACCGGGGTCAGTCACTCTTCAGAAGGGTGAAAATGAAGCAGCTGAGAAATGTAGCATTTTCAGCACAATGTCAAAGTTAAAAAGTGTGAAATCTGTGTTTGCTAGAAGGCTTGGCTATTGTCCCGATTACAGGACAGAAGCCCTTTCCTGAAAAGTTTATTGTTTTGAGGTCTTAGGTGAAGTAACATTTTACAAATAGGATGAGAATAATATCTTATTGTGCTTGCAGTCTGTGAGGGTCCATTGTTTCTGAACATTGTGCTACTTGTTCTTTGAACCTACTACCTGAATCATAAATCATATATGGTTATAGATAGTTTAAAACAGTGTGTTACATGTAGTTTATTGCAGTGCTCTTATTGGCTCTTTCATTTAGGGGCCATGGTGCCTGAAATTGATTTTTTTTGTGATCATTTTTTTTGAAAGACAAGTACCTGAAATTAGTTTTTTTCCTCACTATTTTTTTCCCCACTCAGTTTCCAAAGAGATGCTATTTGGCTGAACTGCTCTCAGTGACTCCCCTGTTATTTAATTATCGTTGTTTTTACTGTCCTTCCCTATGGCTTCTTTGACTGGCTTCTGGTTCATTTATAAGGGGTTGCTGATTATACGGACATACAGAGATCCAGCGGTGCTCAGGCTGACTTTAAGAACCCTGTGCTAACGAGCAAGAACAAGTCCTGGCCGGCATTCAAGCATTTATTAAACTTTGACGGACTGAGTCGCCGCCCTGGTTCCTTAACCGCTATTTCCCTGCTGTGGTCCCGCTTGGGGGGCAGCCCTGCTGGAGAGGGAGGTCCTGCTGGCCGTGGAGAGGGAGCGAGCCTTGAGGAAGGAGCTGGAGGCAGTGTCCCTGCGTCTCTGCCAGCAGGAGCAGGCCAACGTGCAGCTGTGTCTGAAGCACGAGCGGCTCCTGGCCCAGGTGCACCAACAGGAGGTAGACCGGCCTCCGCGGCATCCACAGCCACCCTGGGCTTAGTCCTCTCTTCCTCATGGGGAGCATTTCTTTGCAATTTCTGTTCCCCAGCCTGCTGGAATCTGGTCTTTGGCTAGAAGCTCCACCCCCCCACCCACCACAGCATCTCATTTTCTTGACCATCTTCATGTACGGACCTGCGATCCATTTGCATACAGCTGCACTGTAACACCTTTTCTTCAGTATCTTGGATTTCTCTGCTTTGTTAAAAATGTAGGTTTTCTCTAAAAATGGTAAATGGAATATTTTGAGAATATTTGAATGAAAATTATTCTAAATATACTACATACTAAAGGAAGATTTTTCTGTTTTGATGACAATAAGCATGAAATGTATTTGTGCAAATATATACTTTGATGATGCAAATTTCTTATGTTAGTTATATGAATAAGACTGGTAAAATTAAAGCAAAATCACAGAGAATCCCTCTGATTTGACTTTAAGGAGAAAGATGGTTTAATGTATAATGTTGTTAATGTAACATGCATGTGGTTGCAAGAAATAAATGTAAAATAATGTAAACATAAGAGATTCATGAGACAAAATACTTAAAACTTTTTAATGCTGGTTTTTCCTTGATTCTAAGTAAACTTTGAACATTTGAGTTTTTTTCTCTGTTTAACTGATACTTACTAAGTAAGTCATAGTAGCAAGTAAGATTATAATTTACACACACACCCCAGGATTCAAATCCACACCTTCTGCAGTACTAGCACAATGCTTTACCTGTTGAGCTATAAGAGCACCTTCTGGTCCTTCTTCTGCTCTGTTCACGTGCTCTCAGAAGCACCTCCTGACCAGCAGGCCAGAGGGGAGCCCCAGGGACACGGGGCTGCTGGGCCAGCAGCTGGAGCAGGTCTGCGCAGAGCTGGAGCAGCTGCAGAGCTCTGAGACGCAGCTGGAGAACCTGGTGGAGGAGATACAGAAGGAGAGCCTGCAGCGGACTGCGCACCTGCAGGACCTCATGGACGATCTGGAGAGGGAGAATTTACAGAGGACTGCGCAGGTGGAGGAACTGCAGGCCGAGCTGCGCAGGTACATTTGGTTTAACATTTAAGCATTATTATTGGCTGCATTCCTTAGTGCATTTTCCCAAAATGACCCATTTATATAGCTGCATATTGCATGAAATAAATTCAGGGTTTACCATCAGCCCTGATCTCTGACATGCCAATAAACATTGAAAACTATGTACACCATAGTAACCAGTCACGTAATACCATGATTAAGAATCTCGAATCTTGTGGTTATGCACCTCCAGTGCAACAGCTGGGCTCTTCCAGAGACTTGATCCTGCAGCCTTTAGATTATGAGTCCTTAGGCGCTACCTGATTCTAATATTTCATATCTAAGCAGCATGAATAGCCCCCCCCCCCCAGCAATGTGACTGCACCCTTCCCCCTTTCCAAAAGCGTTCCCTTCAAATTTACAAAGGCTTTGAAATCCCCTGGCTTCCCTGCACCGCAAGTTGCTTGTGAGCAGAAAACATTCACACATTTATAGGAAAGTGCTGTGTCAGACAGCATCAGCGAGGGTGGGGGGGGGGAGGTGTGATCCATAGCTGATGGTGAGAGGGAAGGGAAGGAAAGGGGGGGGACGAGGTGCGATCGAGCGCTGCGTCAAACGATGTCGTCAAAGCAGAACATATAACAGGGATGCATCAGTTTCACGCAATGATTCAGGGAATGACTAATTTAATTCATGTATTAAATACTTTCACGTTTCAGTGAATAACAATTACAGGAATCTAGGGAAAATTGGATAGTGGATAATTTTATCCAGGGAAATAAAATAAAATATGAAATTTGTTGCCTGACCTCAGCTAATGCAGAAAGTAATTGCTAATGACATCTCGCAACGAAAGAGGTGACTCAGCATTTTTACAGCCGTGGCCAGTGCCACGACTTGAGGGACGAAGGACTCGAGGGCAGGCGTTGTGACAAAACAAAAGCGGTTTACTGAACTAAATGAACACGGTCTGGAAACAAACGGGACCACAAGGGATCCAAAATGAGATGAGTGGATACAGGGAAGTGCACAGGTAACAGGTTCGACATTAAAGACCAGACTGGGGCTGACAAGAGAAACAGGAACTTAAATACAAAGACTGAGGGGTAACAAGCAACAGGAGGAGACAGGAGGGTCAGGCGCACTGGACGTGGCTGCCAGCTTACAGCCTCCTTATTTATGAGAAGATGGTTATGTTACTGGATTACAGCAGAAGCCAAGAATTGGATGAGCTGAAGTGCTACCACCAGGGGGCAGTACAGGAACTGCACTGGGAGAACCAGGGCAGCCTGCGGAAGCTGCAGGAGACCGCTGAGCAGTTCGAGTGGCTGTGTGAGCAGCAACGCAACTGGATGTGTTGCGTAAAAAGGTTTGCACCCATCCCCCCCCCCCCCCGACACTCCCACCCCACCTGTCCACAATAATCTCCTGCTCAAGCAGCTTGATACCACTGAAAGTATGCACAAGAAATCATGCGGTTCCAACCCCCAGGGACTCAGGAACGATGACACCTGACACTAACAGGATGACTTCCACCGCACGCTCAGACTTTCGTGGTGTGTAACAGATGCCGCGTGTCGACCTAAAAAACGCCATAAAAAGAAACCGCATTTCATGCACAGTACTACTCTGCCCAGTCAGAAGTGAAATTTAAGAGCCAGCTGCTCTTTCTTTTGCAATTACTGCGGTATCCAGCATCAAATATTTCCCACTTTTATTTATCTGATGATGTACTGTCTGCTTCATAGCTGCCAACTTATAGACTTCATCCCTCTATGATGGAGAAAACACTGGAAGAATTTTAGTTAACAGAACCCTGACGGTGCCTTTCGAAGGTTTAAGGACTGCATGTCAGAGGAGAGGGAGGCTTTGCTGCAGCAGATGGGCCAGATGGAGGTGGAGCTACGGGTGCTGAGAAAGGCGACAGAGACCAAAGGCTCGGAGGAGGACGGCGAGCCGCGCGCAATCAGCAACAGGTCCCCGCATTGCGCTGTTCTCACGCCAGACACCAACACCGTTCTGTCGTCGCAGGTTCCACACATGACTCTTCAGTATCGCTTCTATCTCCATCATCAACATGGCTCAAAACATGCGATAGTTGTTAGTGATTTTTGTTTTCTTTCACGTGCCGTTCATTTAGCAGATGAGTTTATTCGGAACAATGTGTGAGTGAGGATCCGAGAGCAGCGCCAGCCTGAATCCCTGGAAGAGCCGGGGTTAGGGGCCTTGCTCAAGGGCCCAATGGTGATGTCACTCTCCCAACCACAGAATTTGTATCAGCAACCTTCGGATCATGAACAAGGCGTCCTGCACCCCCGAGCCAAACACCACCCTCCTGAGGAATTTTTCCCTTAGGAAGCTCCAATAACAACACTCTCTACACCTCCCCCCCCCCACACCCACACCCACCACCCTGCAGATTGAACACCTGGGACGCTGATGTGATGGCCGACCTTCAAGCCGAGGTGGATAATTGGAGACATCTGTACGAGGACCTCTACGGCAAACTCACATCTCACTCGGTGAGTCGAGATGGTGTCTGAACTCAACTCAACATACATGCTGTAGAACCTGGGGTACCTTTCCCCAAACGCTCCCGTTACCAACTTACATAGTTAGAACCGTTCAGTTGCATGGATCCAACTACGTACATTGCTGAAATTGTTAACAACTACGCTTTTGGGACACTGGGCCCTGACAACGTCCAGCAGCTGATAAATGACTCTTCTCCCAGCTCTGAGTAACACAGTGTGTGTCTCCAACAACAGGAAAAAGGGATCATTTCTCTCTGCTCCGTGACTTAACTGACAGCATGCCTGTAAAATTACAAGAGTTAGCAGCTAATAGTTTTGGTATATTGCATCTTAAGGATCTGCTGCCCAAGTCTGCTTTCTGACACAATTACAAGGTCTGTGAAACAGGGACCCTTATAAGCCTACACAGAATTCTTAAACACAAAAGAACACTGTCAAAAAATTAACTCCAGTGCTGATGAGACGAACAGCCACCTTTAAAAGAAGTTACATTACAATGCATTCTCTTTCATCAGAGTCACCAGCCAAAGCCTGCATTCAATCATTGACTGGATAAAAATGATTTAACATTTCACTTTCATGTGCCTGGAATGAAACAGCCGTAGAATTTGCCAGAACTGTTTTTCTTTTTTTTTTATCACATTGTAAGCTGCCTAGATGGCTTATGTTCATTGGCTGTGGCCTGACATTCCTGTTGTTTGTTAATTTTATATCCTCAGGATGTGTGGACAGTTGATGGGTCCCAACAACCCCCCTGAGAAGCCCGAGACTGGAATCTGGGCTTTTTTTATCTCTGAAAGGGGTGTCATTCTTAATTCTAGGCTTATGTCTGGGGTTGGCTGTTCTGGGAATTAAAACAAAGCTCACGTCACAGATAATTGTTGTCTCGTATGAAATGTGTCCTTGTTTGATATGTCCTTGTGTAAAGGCCGGTAAACTTACCGCAAAGCATAATAAAACGAGACCATGTCTTTCTCCATAATAAGCTGTTTCTCTCGTGCGTTTTTATTGCTGAAAAAAAAAAAAACGCCGTTCGTTAACTTAGCAGTTTTTGAACTTGCATTGAAATCGATTATAGGCTGCAAACTGATTTGCACGTGGCGCTTGGCAAACACATCGATCGAGGACTTGTTAAAAGCAGAACGTCGAGTGTGTCTGTTTCGGGCTTAGACCCACAGAAAACCATTCAATACCATTCAGGAGAATGTGGAAATGTAATAAGTTGATGCTGATAAGGTTTATTCGTTTAACTTTAAAAGTGGACGGGCAAAACACCAAATATTTATTTTATGTACGTGTAAATATTGTGGCTTTGTGAATGCTGTTTCCAACTGTGCTCAATTCTGTCTGTTGACTCACCTGCAATCATGGGTCTTGCGGTTAAGCGGGTTCACGGGTATAGAAAGAGAGCGCATTGACTGCATGAAGGGCTTACTGCGTATTTTGAAAAGTGAAACCGCAGGGACCTTGCTAAATCGCTCCCTGTCTCTTAAGACCAAAGCCCACAGGCCTACAGAGTGTTAAACCGACAACTTGGCCTTTCACATGAAAGGCGTACAAGGACATATCATGGCAGGAAAAACATGTTTCTGTCACAAGCTGTTGCTGTTTTTCTACGGCAGCACCCCGAAAACGAAGTCGAAAGGAGGAAGGTATTTTAACATTTGACGTTTTGTTGGCGTTGCTTACATACCGGTCAGGTTTCTCCTGCCTTGAGGCCGTTTTATACTGTGCTGTGCCATGGTACGTACGTGTGAAGGGATTCAAATGAGGCTCCTCAACCGTGTGTTTACAGCGGTTTGTAAATGTTTATCCACATTGCATGTAAACACATAGAGGGGACTAGGTGTCGTTGCTCCGAGATTACATCTGGTGGTCATCCTCTCCCGATCCCATGTCCCACACATATTTTGCTGCCTAGCGCGGGAATTCATGATAGAAAGTGTGTGTGTGTGTGTGGGGGGGGGGGTTTGGTTTGCTCGGGTTCACTGTGAGGTCACTTGAAGTACGAAGGCGGAGCGACAGCCTGACACGACAGAGACTGTTGGCAGGGTCTAGGTCTCCCCCTGCTGACTCTCTGGGTCAGTGTCAATGGGACCTCTGTAGAGGGAGGGAGGATCAGAGGAGGTTGCCATGGCGAGGCATCGACCTACCATTGACCCCCCCTTCCTCATGAACCTTGGCAGCACTGCCCCACATCCCATGAAGTGTTCCCCATGGTCGACTTGTGCCTGACTGCTACAGGCCCTCATTGTCTCATGCCCCCGGAGGCCAGATGGGAAACAACAACCATCACGATATCAGCTCTGTCCTGGGGGAGCAGGAACAGGTACATGTGACAGGAGGGTTTTAACAATATATTTTTGGAACACAAGTGTGCTAAATGAAAACTGTAGTATTTTAAATTTTTTTCAGCGGGTAACAAGTCAAGATGACTGTTATGAACATGGAGAAGTTTAGCATCTGAGACAATGATCAGCAGCAGACAGCGTTCTCTGCCCGATGTGCTCCTCAGCTTCCCAGGTGACTGGATGAAAGATGGATGGATGGACCTCTCTTGAGCACAGATCAACACAGACAGACCATGGGAGCAGATGATTATTAAACTGATATCTAACCAGCCGGTCGGTCTCTTTGTCTGAACAGCCTCTGAAACAGATGGGGATCATGAAAGTTTTACCAAAACATTCTAGAGTTACATGAATATCTGAAATGCCTTTAAGCAGTAAACAATTAATCTGAGACGAGACTTAAGCAGGCACCTGCTCCTTTATGGCTGCAGATGGCCAGGCAATTGTAGATAAGCTGTATTTTCAACTTTACGGATTCACTATTTTAATATTTATTATTGTATTTCCATATAAATGTTTTTTTGTACATGTATGTGTATATGTGTTGATAACATAACATTTTTTTTGCCCAACCACAAAGCAAACGTGTAAATACTATTTACTATTAAATAAATTCATCTAAAATACCATTAGGGGTCACTCTTACACAGGCAGTTTGGGTCAGAAAAACAACTCTTTCAAATAAACCATTTTCCCAGTATTTTTCTGTGCTTTGGTGGTTTTTCTTGTGAAAATGTCCATACAATTAACTGCTTCCTGCTGCATATCACAAGTGCCCATTGTGACACTACATTAAGTCTATTTAAAGGACAGAGCTCAGATTTCACATTTAGCTTCACTTCAGTGCAGCCACCAATTCTCCATTTATTTTGACCTTAGGAGACTATGATAAAAGTTGGTATAGTAGAACATCTCATTCTGAAGCTAGTTTCTTCTAGATTAGGTGATGGGGACGAGAAATCTGCCTGTACCTAATACCTAAAGCACAACTAGCTTCGCTGGCCCCTCGAACATGAGGATTTAAAGACTTGGATGATGCGTTATAGCTTGGTAATGGTAAAACCCACGATCTAGAACCTGGACGCAAATAATGTCCTTGCAACATATTCCGTTAATATTGCAGCAAGGATTGCAGTAATGCTTGTGGAATTTTATTTCACCGCATCCCCCACATTCGGTAGTCATCCCCCCCCCCACCCCCCCAGCAGAGAGAGGCTGACAGGCTTTACCCATCAAGGACTACATTCCTCCCCCTAAAATAAAACCCAGTGTTCTGCTTCACTCAGCAACGAGCCACATTAAATAAAATACTCAGCACGTAGGGTTTTTCTGAACACAAAGTCATGTTCAAACAGAGCCATGCCTTCCATCCTGGAATCCCAGGTTTCTCTGGACCCTCTGTCCCTTCCCAGGAAACACGTTTCCGCATAAAACAATTAGAGGCATGGAGGAGCGCGTGGAAGAGCGGATCGGACTCGCGGCACGAGAAACGTGCGTGTAATTACGGGCGTCCGCAGTCTCGTGTCTGTGCGTTAATCTTTGCCAGGCGGACAGTGACACGGGATTGAACCATCTGAGTTCCCGCCGTCCGCACAGACTCCTTGAGGCCGTAAGTCAGAGCAGCTGTTTGGAATGGAAAAGATGCAGCAATCGAGTGGGACCTGTAACCAGGAGCGATGAAAAAAAGACACTAACCGACACAGATGTTGCACAAAAGTCCTCCCCGTCCTTAGTGCGGCTGCCTCTTTTCTGCGATTCACTACTGAGATGATGTTCTGGAATGTTCCGGACCCCCCGCCCTCCCCGGCGAGACGTGATGGCGGATGCTCCTGCCGGCGTGCGCGGAAGACTCAGCGGGGGTCGCGTGCAAACGCGGCCTGAATAACTTGCAGGTCTACGGAAATAGACGTGGTGCAGCGTGAACCTTGAGCCGGGGGCTGCTGTCTCCTGCAGACATTCCTCGGCACGCAGATGCCCGTGTGGACCCGCGACCTCGTAAACAACTCGTAGGCCCAGAGCTAGATCTGCAACGCAAACCTAGTTATCGCAGAACGTCCGCATTTGAGGTAAATTGCTTCATGCTGTATAACAATAGACTCAGTCAGCCAAAGCCAAAGCTTAACCCCCCCCCCAGATCTGTACAGCGCTCGAAAACAACAAACTTTATGTAAACCGTAGAAGCTAATACATGCTCTGACACTGATTCCACCCCAAACCATACTCAGGATCTTCAAACTGCATGGATTTATAGCACAGAACGCCAACAAAAGGACGTCTTCTTTCTAGGCCAGGAATGATACGGACAGTTCATGATTAAAAGAATAAAGCAGAAAGTCAACAAAAGGCTGACTTTCGCAAATAAAGAAATATGAAAAACGTGCTTTTTTGGATGGTTCCAGAGGTCATGCATTGTTCCACGATGTCTCCTGGGCTGTCCTGCTAATTCGGCGCATTATGTTTTGCCATTATTGTTTACTAATTTATAGTATTGGCGGGTCGCTTGAATTGA